AATTTCAGGCTGCAACCTCTTGAGTTTCAAGACAGGATTTTGTTTTTCAACACATCCTAGACCAGACCTATTTCCCGCAGTCTGACCACTCTGAAAAATCTCCTCTAGGATGTCATACCCAGAGTTGAGCATCCTTATGGATTTTTTCATTTGCTCCTTTTCTTCTTTCAACTCCTTTACCTCCCCTTGGAGTGAGTTTATAGTAACTAGATGCTCTCTCTTTTCAACTTCTAGCTCTTTGATGAGCTTCTTCTGATGCTCTCCTTGCTGGTACAGTTATGTGCTTCTAATGGACAACTTCTTATATGATTCAGCTAGTTCATCATAAGTTAGCTCCTCTTCACTTGAGTCTCCATCAGATACACACACATTGTTGAGAACAGTTACATGTTTGGATGATTCTCCTTCTGATCCACTGTCAGAATCTTCATCAGACCAAGTGACTGTTAGACCTTTTCCCTTCTTTTTGAGGTATGTGGGACATTCCTTTTTAACATGTCCATATCCCTCACACTCATGGCATTGTACTCCTCTGCTTTGGTTGACTTTATCTTCAGCTTTTTCTTTGTCAGTAGGCAAGCTTTTGAAATAAGGTTTAGACTTAGCATCTACCCTTTTGGCCAGTTTGTTGAACTGTCTTCCAAGCATGGCTATTGCCTCTGATAGATCTTCCTCTTTTTCATGATCTGAGGCCTCAGTAGAGTTTGAGACAAGAGCTATACTTTTGCTCTTTTTCTCCATAGCCTGATCACACATCCCCATCTCAAAAGTTTGAAGGGATCCAATGAGTTCATTCACTTTCATGTGGCATATGTCTTGAGCTTCTTCAATGGTTGTTACCTTCATTACAAACCTTTTAGGTAGTGACCTTAGTATCTTTCTTACAAGCTTTTCTTCGGCCATCTTTTCTCCCAAAGCTCCTGAGGTGTTAGCTAGTTCAAGAACATTCATGTAAAAGTCATGAATGGTCTCATCTTGCTTCATTCTTAGACTTTCAAATTTTATGGTCAGCATTTGAAGTCTTGACATTTTGACCTTGGAGGTTCCTTAATGAGTGGTTCTGAGAGTGTCCCAAACATCCTTTGCTAGTTCACAGTGGTGGACCAGTCTAAAGATGTTTTTGTCTATACCATTGAAGAGTGCATTCAATGCTTTAGAGTTTCCAAGAGCCAATGCCTCTTGCTCTTTGGTCCATTCCTCTTTAGGAATTTGCACAGATACTCCATCCTTGTCAATCTTCACAGGATGTTCCCAGCCAGAGTTTGCAGCTCTCCAAGCCTTGCTGTCTAAGAACCTTAGGAAGGCAACCATCCTAGGCTTCCAATAGTCATAATTAGAACCATTCAGAATTGGAGGTCTATTGGTGAAACCAATATCTTTATCCATAGTACCAGAATTTTGTTTCCCTAGATCTCACCCAGTAACAAACAGGCAGGGTGCCTGCTCTGATGCCAATTGAAAATTCTAGCCAGCCCACGATGGATGTTCTAACAGAAGTTATAACATCCACTGTGACATTCACTACAGACCTACTATTATGCAGTAATAATAAAGCAGTAAATAACACAGTTGGTTGTTGACCCAGTTCAGTGCAAAACACTTACATCTGGGGGCTACCAAGCCAGGGAGAAATTTCACTATCAGTAGAATTAATTCAGAGTTAAACCTCCAGTTTGCACTCCTCACTTAAAATCTATCCAATGACAATTTAACCTAGAGACACTCTAGACCTGAGTATACCCACTCACTCCCTACAATCACACACCAGTGATATCAAACAGTTACAAATTAAATAGTAGAATGAAGAGACACTTGAACTACACACACACCTTGATCTTGCTTCAAAGCTTTGATCAAGTGACACACATTCTTGCTTAACAGCTTCGACTGGTACACAGCCTAGAAACTACCTAACCAATGCAATCAACAGTTGCTTGGATTACAAGTGTTCCTAAGACACAATCGTGAAGAACAACCTCTTCACTTCTAAACCACTATGGTGATTTCTCTGCTTCTCTATCTCCAACCGTTGCCTTCTAGGATTGCTTCTCATGTTATTTATAGCAGCAGATCAGTCTTTGGGCTTGGCGCATACATTAGGTTTTATCCATCATAAAACCTCTCTTTAGTATTCTGCACGTTTGCCACTTTAATCAGGTACATATTAGTTCCGGTACATATTAGTTCCCCTAGGGCGTCTAAAATGTCTCCTGCATTCTAGCTTGAGCTTCTGAGTTGTTTCCTGAGTTCTAGCTACCAGAATAACAAACTTCTGCTTGATGTCATACGACCTATGTCATAACATTGAGTATGACATCCAGCTTAACTCATAGTTAGCTTAGTTAACTTACCCTGTACAGTTTATATTATGAATGTAACAACATCATACATGACATTCATACATATACTAATATTTTGCCACAAAATGCAGCCAATCAAGAGCACTTACACTATCTATATGCAAGATAACCATCACTTTGGATGATATATCATGCCTCCTGCATCTTTCCATCAGGGGGATATCATTGGATCACAGGAGGATCGAACGAGAGGAATGGGTTGATTTGATGATTACCCTGTTGGGGGCTGATCCTGGTAAAGCGGTGGATGAGGAACCTCGCACTAGAGGTGCTCATGCACGGTTTAGCTTTTTTTGGAAATGCTTTATAACGAACATGTGAAGGGGGATTTAGATGACGTTGGTGATAATGTGCAAGTTGAGTACCATCGGCATTGCGTGTTGAGGTTTTACCTCTTGTTCTTGGTTGGCATATCCATGTTTATGGACAAAAGTGCATCATATGTCGACGTGGTCTACCTCAAGTACTTCACAGACCTGAGTACGATTCACAAGTATAATTAAGGGCCACCTGATTGGTCTACCTGTACTCGAAGTTGGGCGAGACTTGTCTTTAGAAGGAAAAACAGATTTGTGGGTGATGCAGGTTGCTTACGGTAATTTATTGTTACAAATATTTTCATAATTCATTTGTTACACTTTTTATTAATATTATATCTAACCAATTTTCAGAGATGGGTCATCTCATCTCCCACTTCCCTCGCATCACCGGGATTGAAGTTCCGCCTAACTACATAAAGAATTGGCCTCGTGTTGCCACTTTTGTTCAATAAAGGGTAAATGGTGCGGTCGAGCCATTCAGAGTATCTCTTGACCGTATGATACTATATGACATTTGTTTCTTCCCATATGAGGGTCACTGCCAAAAACTTCATTTGACGTCATTTCCTTATACTCCAGTTTGTTATTATGTGGGACATCTCTTATGTATCCCTATCTGTCTGAGCGAGTGATGTACCAGTTTGGTTACTTGCAGATTATCTCGCGACCTCACCATGAGTGCGCTCCTCCCACTGTCCTCCGTAAAGACCTACAGGCAATACTGCATGATTTCGAAAGTCACCTGATATCGAAGGAGTGTCGTCGGAAGCCAACTCATGTACATTGGGCTTGTGCTGAGGGCTACTAGACATGGTTTTATAAGGTGTCACACTTTATCAAGACGTCATAAGCTCTTGGAGAACCACCTAGGCCAACTAACCTGGAGGTACTTAAGGTTAGGGTTGAGCAGGTAGAGAGCATGATGACAGTACGTCAGCATGTTGCGGAGATGAGTATAGCACCCATAGAGTCACGATTCTTTAAGGATGGTAGCCCCCAGTTGTCCCTAGTGGAGCGCATGGTTTCCGAGTTATGAATGTCATGCAGTATAGGCAACGGATGAGGCAGGTGCTTAGACAATACCCAATAGTTTATATTGCGATTTTTTTTTGTATTTTCAAATGTATTTTTAGACAGGTGTTATGTATGAATTTTCTTAATTTTTTTACTAATGTATGAACTTTTACTTTTCTTTAACTTTAATATAACTTCATTTTACTTTGATTTTACGTTAATATAAGTTGGTCTCACAAAAATTAAATGTTTGGATAATGGTGTTGTTCAGATATGATTCAGGGACGATTTCGAATATGCATCTCCGAAATAATTTCTCTTTTTTATTTTTCACATTTTTAAAAACTTTCAAAAAATATTTCAAAGATGCATATCCGAATACACCAAATATCATACGCAGATGTATCTCTAAACTATATTTTAGTTCAAAATAAAGTGAATTTTAAAATAGCGCATTTTAGTTTTGATTTAGATGTCACTTGTCAATATCATTCAAAGTATGGTCTCAGTAAGAATTTCTTTTAAGAGTGGGTGTTGATATACTAATTAATGTGGGCACCTTAGCTTAATTAAGAAAGATGGTTATATTATATCTAGACGAAATTTTGTATTAAAAGAAGGAGATAATATCCTTAAATCTTTGATATTGTTTCCTTGAAGGTTACATTTAGCCTTAAAATCTGCTAATACAGCTACTTGGAAAGAGGGATTTAATTTAAGTCTCCTCCTTTCAAGATATCCTTCCATCATTGTACATTTTCCTATACAATTCACCCTTGCAAATCCTTCCCAAATTCAAAAATCTTTGTGAATTGATTTCACTCAAGAATAATAGTTGATGCAAACGAGGGTGATTTAATTAATAGGCTACAATAGAATGTTGTGTTCTAAACAAGAAAGAAGAATCTACATGATCATGATGATTCACTTGTGTTTTCAAGAATAGAACAAGATTGAAGGTAGAGAGAATTATAGCACTCAATCCAAAAGAGAAGCAAATCAAAATGGAAAAATGAGAAGAGAATCTATGGTCAAAGTAGTCAAACTTGAAAACCTAATTAAGAAACACAATCCAACATATCGTATATGAAGAATGAGCTTCAATTTTTGTTTATATTATTTTTCCACCACTTGTACTTATAGCTTTCTCTCTCTCTTTTTTCACAATATAGATTCCCAATCATCTCCTCCACTCTCTAGACAAGACTCATTATTGCACCCAACTTCTATCTCCCATGTCATCATCTTCCAACTATATAAATCCATATCAATCTCCATCAACCTTCATCACTAACAAACAAACATCATGACTTCTAACTCCTCCATTAATGGTTTCTACAACATCCTTAACCAAGGACTCCATGACCTTCACCAAACCTTCCTCTCCCATAACTTCATGTCTTTCCAATTCCTTTCACAAGTTATCTCATCTCTTCAATCCTTCCATTCTCATCTCACCCTCTTGGTTCGCAAACTCCGCTTGCCCGTCGGAGGAAAATGGCTTGATGAATACATGGATGAAAGCTCAAGACTTTGGGATTCTTGCCATGTACTCAAATCCGCCATTTCCCAAATGGACAACTATTACTCATCTTCTACTAATATACTTTCTTCTTTAGATGCTTACCATCACTTCACTCCTGACTTTTCGCGTCAGGTTCGTTCTACGTTATTACACTGACATATGTCAGAAACCAGACATTTTCAATATTTATCTAACCCTAAATTTTTATGTATATAGGTTGCACGCGCGATAAATGTTTGTCAAAGGGAGATTATAGGAATGGAGGAAGAAAACAAGAGTTTGACAGAAACAAGGATTCAGCAACTATCTCAATGTCTGAACCAAAACACGAACATCTCGGTCGATTCGAATTCGAAACTAAATGGATTCAGTGGTTTTCGAGGCGTTCTTTTCGCAATGAGGAGTGTCAGTTCATTGCTTTTGATGATTCTTCTGTGTGGAATCACATATTGTTGGTCTTCCTCTTGTTTTCATCAAGGACTAGGACAAGGTTATCATGAAGGACACATGGTTTTTGGATCTGGTTTCATGGTTTCAATGGCAATGTTGCAACAAAAAGTGGCAGAAGAAATAGACAAGAATGATGGACAACATAGGATTCTATTGTTTGAGTTCCAACAAGCAAAGATTGCAATGGAGGAATTGAAAGTGGAGATGGAGAAAATAGCATGTTATGATAATGATGAACATGGTTGTGAGATTCAAGAAAAAGTTGAGAATGTGAAGAGTTGTTTTGGATTGTTGAGATGTGGTGTAGAAAGTATCACAGGACAACTTGATGATTTCTTTGATGAAATTGTGGAAGGAAGGAAGAAACTTTTGGATATGTGTAGCCATAGGTAGAACTTGAAACTATTTTAATATATCAACTACTTTTTGTTTTTTAATCTTTTAATAAAAAATTAATGAAGCAATGTTGTCCTTTTTTTGTGTATTAATATTAGATCTTTCCCTTATTTATTTATTTTTTTTAAATTATATTATATTTTTAAAAGTTTAGAGACTTTGAGTTCAAATTCAGTCATGTATAAGGTTAGTTAAATATTTAAATTTTTTAAAAGAGAATTTTATTGTTTATTATAGTCATGTCTGTAGAAGATATTCTATGCACATAAAAAAAAATTAAATTAAATATTTTTTTAAAATATTTTAGAAATCAACCTTAAATATGATAGTTAAATCTTTATCTTTAGAAAAAAAGCTTTTTTATATGATTATTTACCATTTGAAAATTAATCATGCATATGATAATTTATTTATAAAATAAAAATTGAATATTGGAAAGTTGTAGCTAGAATAGAATGTGATTCTTGCTTTAAAGAAAAGCAAATATTACTATTCTTAGATAAGAATCAAGAATATTGAGAAGATGGTAACTTCAAGAGAAAGGTTTATTTATTTAAATAAAAAATATTTGAGTAGAGTCAATAAGAATCTTATGTGAAGAAATAGACATATAGAGTATTCTGATATGTTATGATCTGTGAAAGAATTTCCACTCTATTACAAATTTGTATTCTAGTGTATGTGCAAAGATAGCTTGAATAAAAGTTCTGAATCTTATAGATCTTTTCTGTGTAGAAAATGATGAAGGGAACAATTGAATGTTTGGTATGATTGTAGAATTTGAAAAGCATGAAAGTATTCTGACATGATCATGTTCTCAATCAAGTTTAACTGGCTTATTGAAAGGTGAAAATACTAATAATATTATGTGGGTTAGAATGCTATTTTGAAGTGCATGACTGAAATGATTGTAGAGTTATATTTTATTGACTTTGAAAAGGGACTTTGTAGATGTAATTTGTAAACAAGGGGGAAAAGTTTATATGGTGAAGAAATGTGATTTTGCCTTTTCACAAAGGTTAGCAATATCTGACATGGTTAAAACAAAAAGGCTAAAGATTTACTACACTACATGTGAAAACTACTTTTCAATTAAAGCTCTTTAGTGTCTCTTATATATATATATATATATATATATATATATATATATATATATATATATATATATATATATATATATATATATATATATATATATATATATATATATATATATATATATATATATATATATATATATATATATATATATATATATATATATATATATATATATATATATATATATATATATATATATATATATATATATATATATATATATATATATATGATGTCTTGAAACATAATATATACAGTTTTTTTATAGACAAGAAACACAAGGATTAGGGTTACTAAAGAAAACAAGCGAGAAGAACAAGAAGAAACAATAAGGATTGGTTATAAACTGATATTCTTTCATTTCTCTATCAAAAAAGATTACAAGTATACAAGAATAACAGATAACCTCTCTCTCTTGAATTATGATTTTATCTTCCTATTTTTTCTTTTACAAGTTGAGAGACTAGCATGCTATTTATAAGAAAACTAACACACTAACCTAATGGGCTTTTTAACAATTATCCATTACAAGCTAATTTATGGTACAAACTAACTTAAACAATTGGGCTTACAAGCAAGGCCCAATTCAACATAACAACCTAGCAATATTTACTAATGCATGTTAGAACAAACTTCGACTACAACACACATTACTCGCGAACAGACTTCGACCATACTATAGTTCGATCCAATATCTCACAAATCTCCACCTTGGATCTAACGCTATAACATCAAGAAATTAGCTTTCTTCATGCAGCTTTATCAACTGCATACAGTGGAAAAACTTGCAACTGGGCAACGTCTTGGTGATCATATCAGCAACATTATGATCTGTCGAAACCTTCAGCACTTGGACTTCTCCACGCTCGATTACCCCTCTGACAAAATGCAGTCTTACATCAATGTGCTTGATTCGCTCATGATAGGCTGAATTCTTCGACAGGTGTATTGCACTTTAACTGTCACATATAACAATGATAACTCGACCTTGAAGTTTCAGCTCCTTTGCAAAACCTTCATGTCAGAATGCTTCCTTCACAACTTCAGTTAGGGAGATATATTCCGCTTCAGTGGTTGATAAGTAAACGACCTTCTAAAGTGTAGCTTACCAACTGATTGTTGTCCCAAACATATCCAGAAATAGATTTTCTGGAATCCATACAACCTGCATAATCAGAGTCAACATATCCTTCAATTGTTGCTTTACTATCTTCACCCAAGGCTCCACCATAAATTATGACTCTATTCAGATATCCATTTATGTAACTTAGAATCCACTTTAATGCTTGCTAGTGAGCCTTTCAAAGATTTGTCATGTACCTGCTTATAAGACTTACTGCATATGCTATGTCGGGTCTTGTACAGACCATATCATACATCAAAGGACTCACTATATTAGCATATGGAATGTTATTCATATAAGCTCTTTCGATATCAGTGTTGGGACATTGATCTATACTCAACTTGAATTGAGGGTTTGTCGGAGTCACAACAGGATTTGAATTCGACATACCAAACCTTTCGAGAATCTTCCGTAGGTATGCCTCTTGAGATAAGCATAATTTTGACTGTTTTTATCTCTTCGGGTGTCAATCCCAAGAATCCTGGCCTAGCTCTCAGATCCTTCATGTCGAACTCCTTATTGAGTTCAGCATTTACCCTCATTACATCTTCGACATTGTTGTTTGCTATTAGAATATCATCCACATAAAGCAACAGAATAACAAATGAATTACCAGGTAGAAATGTGAAGTAAACACAGTGGTCAAACTGACTTTTAATGAAACTTATGCATTTCATGAACTTGTCAAATCTCTTATTCCACTATCGAGGAGATTATTTCAGTCCATATAAAGATCTATTCAGTTTGCACACATAATTTTCCTTCCCCTTTTTTTACATACCCTTCAAGTTGCCACATAAGGATTGTTTCATCTAGATCACCAAACAAGAACGCAGTCTTCACATCCATATGTTCCAGTTCAAGGTCGAATTAGGCCACCGTGGCAAGCAACATTCGAATGGATCTGTGCTTCACAACAGGAGAGAACACATCATTAAAGTCGACACCTTCTTTCTGAGTGAACCCCCTAGCGACCAATCTTGCTTTGTATCTCTTCGATATCACTCTTTCGATTCCTTCCTTAACTTTGAAAATCCATTTACAATTGACTAACCTGGCTCCAGCAGGTTTCTTGATCAGTTCCCAAGTGTTGTTATCATGAAGATATTTCATCTCATCATCCATGGTCTTCAGTCATTCAGTCTTCTTTCGACTCCTCATAACTTCCTTATAGTCTCTAGGTTCTTCGTCTAAAACCTCACTTGCAAAGATTAAGGCATAAGCTATAAGATCTACATACCCAAGTCTCTGAGGTGGCTTGATGACTCTCCTCAACCTATCTTTTGCTAGCAGGTAGTCATTATCAGTCTCCTCATCTTCGACAACATCTTCTGCGCCTTCTTTGACTTCATCTGGGATACGCAATTCAGCATCAACATGTTCCACCTTAGCAGGAATCTCTCGTTGTTCCAGCTCTTCGTCAACATCATCAGTTTTCTTTAAAGTCGTCTCTACTTCATTAAAAACTACATCTCGACTAGTGATACACCTCCTGTGACCTGGCTCTAGGCACCATAGCCTATAAGCTTTGACTCCTTCAGGGTATCCCATGAACATCCATTTCAGAGCTCTAGGTTCGACCTTGTCTTGCCTAATATGAGCATAGGCCATACAACCAAATACTCTCAGTCTGTCGAGACTAGGTGGATGTCCCGACCAAACTTCTTCAGGTGTCTTCATTCCCAAGGCAGTCGAGGGACATCTATTTATTAGATAGGCTGTTGTCGGAATAGCCTCCGCCCAAAACACCTTCTACAATCCAACACTAACCAACATGCATCTAACCTTTTCAAGGATTGTTCGATTAAATCTCTCAGCTAAACCATTTTGTTGAGGAGTACATGCTACAGTCTTATGCCTTGAAATCCTAGACTCAACACAGTAATTGTCGAACACTTCATTGCAGAACTCAAGGCCATTGTCGGTTCTCAACCTCTTAACCTTTCTGCCAATTTGAGTTTCGACCAGAACCTTCCAACTTTTGAAATTCTCAAAAGTTCCGTCCTTCATCTTCTGGATGAATACCCATAACTTTCTGGAATAGTCATCAACGATGGATAGAAAATATCTTGCACCTGAGTGTGAAGGATCTCTTGCAGGCCCCAAAAGATCACCATGAATGAAATCTAGGGATCCATGTGTTCTTTTCTTGCCTTTGTTAAACTTCGCCCTACAGGATTTACCAAATACACAAGGTTCACAAAACTTCAACTTTTCGACTATGTCACCTCCTAGCAGGTTCTGCTTCCCCAATTCAACCAGGCCTCTTTCGCTGACATGGCCCAATCTCATACGCCATAATTTTGTCTTTGAAACAGATTTCGTGGATGCAACATTTGTCGAACCACTTACAACCTCAGCCTCAACAAGCCTTGTTTCTTCACGCCTCTCAAGACTTCCTTCGACCCCTTCATGACTCTAGGATATTTTTCTCTCCTTGAAAACATATTCTTTTCTGTCAAATTCACCAAGAGATATCAAATTTCTCTCTAAATCAGGTACATACCTGACTTCAGCCAATAACCTTATTGACTCATCATGGAGCTTGAATCTCACAGATCCAATACTTGCAATTTTGCAATATTTGTTGTTTCCCAATAGCACCAATCCACCATCTTAATCACACAGCTTCTCGAACAATTCTCTATTTGGAGTCATGTGCCAAGTGCAACCTGAATCCATAATCCGTTTTTTTCTTGAGTCGCCACTTGAAACCACAAGAACATCAGATGAGTCAAAGTCATCTTGAACAATGGTTGCGTTGCCATTATAC